TGGAGGCAAAAGATTATTTTTAAATAATAGCATATTAAACATTAATAGTTTGTTATTTCATTCTTTGCCAACTTCAAATTATTTAGGAAGTATGAATCTTCTAGTATATTTTAGTTAAAATACTACGGAATTTATCACTTGATCTATCCCTAGAAGTGGCAGCTCATCTTCGTCCTTCTCCTCCCTCTCCCCACTCCATCCCCCTTGCTGACCCCTACAGTCCCTCTACCTCTTCTTCCTTACAAAAACAAACAAAAAAACACCCTAAAGCATAATCTCTTTTTGCAAAAAGGTAAAGGTAAATCCATGGAAATTCTTCACCAATTAGAGGTTGTAATCCCTTCAAAACTGTTTTCTAATTTATGAAATTGAAGAAATCAGAAAGCGATATTAAATAAACTCATCTTGAACTTTTTCAAGAATTAGTATAATTTCCAAAGAACAGAGGTATCTGAGCTGCCAAAATATCTACCACCAGAAATCTATAAATGTTGGTGGTGATGGCAGGAGTGGAATAATAGAATGTGTGCAGGTATTTCAGGAATACTGTTTCATTAAACTCCATGCAGAAGTGGCTATCCACAGTTTCCCGAGAAGGAAACTGAGGCACAATGAGGGTATGTGTGTTGACCAAGTCAATGCTGCTGATAAGTGGCAGGGCAAGAATGTGGTAGATTGACTCTGGGGCCTGGGCATTTTCTCCCACACTGTGCTGAGTGAATGACAAATTACTTATCTGTCTGTGTTTTTCAGTCTGGAGATAATAGAAAAACTCGCTGAGGTTTTGGTGGAAGTAGCTGCAGGACTTTGAACATTTCAGAGAGGCTGTTTCTCCTCCCTAATGGAACTCCCCTGTTCTCTGTTCTCAGACCATTTTTACTTTCTTTTCTGACCTACTTTCTTGAAGATGGTACCCATTCCTCTTCCCTAGTAATGTGCAAATCTTGTCGCTGTGCTTGTGTGTGTGGGGGGGTGGGGTGGGGTGGGGGCGGGGGGGAACGGGCATTAACTGTTGTGAGAAAAGAAGAGAAAGGAATCACTACCTCTTAGGAACTGTTTGAGAAGTGGTGTATTGCAGAGAATTATTGTATGTTCTTAAACCCTAAGTGGATTCACTAAGCATTTTCAGTAATCTGTTTGCAGTTTTGTTTACTGAAGATTTGGCTTTGGGGTGGTGACTTGACCACTTTGGATTTGTAAACTGGTTCATCTGTCAAAGTCCAGCTCAAATTCCATGCTCCTTTCTCCATAAAGCACTATCTCACCATTTCTCTCAAATTGACTTCTCCAAATTTGTAAAGACTGGGTTATCAGTATCTTTCCATTAATATTTATATACTCCCATACTCAGCAAGATGAGTGTTCTTTTTAAAAGCATTAACTTGTCTCTTTGGCTAGCAAGCAGGCCCCATGGGATACTGATTGCTTCTTTTACCTCAATAACATTCCTCCTCCCCCATAGCTAATACAGAGTTGGCCATTAATATTAGTTGATTTATTTATTCTATTATCCTCCCATTGGTTCTATTTTTGTATCATGAGTGAGTCTATACAGATTGTTCTTTACAAGACAGTTCTTGAAATATTTGAAGATAGTGACCATGCTTCCTCGGAGCCTTCTAAATTTCTCCAGTGCTTTAAACATTTCTTTCACATGTGGCATAACTGTTTGATTGTCTCTTATCCATTCTGCTCTGAATTCAGTCCTGCTTGTCAACATCCTTCCTTAACATGATGCCCGTAGCTGAATTCCAGTTCTGCTGCATTTAGGATATTCATCTCTCCTTTCTGTGTGATATAGTTCCATGCCACTTGCAGTCCAGTTAGTTTTCTTGGCATCCATGTGATGCTGTTGGCTTATACTGGCTTATACTGACTTCCACTTGGCTAACATCTTTTCATCTGCTTCACATGAGCTGTACTCCTGCCAGGAAGCAATCATCCTAGGCATGTGCAGCTGATGTTTCTGAACTTCATCCTCATTCCTCTTGTTTCATCCTGTTCGTTTCAGTCCATTAGTCCTCTCCAGGCAAATTTCTTGATTTTTGGATTATAATTCAAAATAGCCTGTTAGACTAATAAGTAGTCATGTCTGTTCCATCTCCACCAATCAGCATCTTGCATATCAGGTCTTTCTTGAGCTTTAACAGGGAGTACTTTCTTCTTTTTTCATGGACGTGTGAATGTTTCTCCCCAAACCACAGTTGTCACATCTGTAAAATGGAGGTAGAAGTACCTACCTTACAGGGCTACTGTGAGGATTGAACTGATTAGTATGTGTGAAGTGCTTAGAATGGTGCTTGACATATAGTAACCGCTAATAATTGTTTGCTTTATCTATAGGTACTCAGTAAGTGTGAATTTTAATGAAGATTGGAATAATTTATGAACATGATTTTTTTTGAATCCTCAAAACATAGCTATCCAAAGAAACATTTATAAATTCATGGAGACAGAACACTGTAGAGGAACAATATTTTCCCAAGGAGGCATAGTGAGATGGTCTCCAACTAAGGGCCAGACTCACAGACTTGTTGACTCACAGACTTGCAGTCAAATATTAGGTGACATTTTTATAAGCACTGTGCATATTTACTGGTATCAAATAGTGCAGGTAACCTGGCGAAATATGGCTTCCATGTTATGAACTGCATTTATCAGCATTATAATTAAAACACTTAATTGCTCAAAGCCTAATTTTAACTTTCCTGCCCATGAGCTCATGCATTGAACAGCATAACAAAAGAAATTGTAAAAATTTTTTTTTTCTTTTATGAAGCACAGTCTTTATTCCTTTGGGAAAAAACATCATGGTCCTCCAACATAAGAAACTCATGAATTTAATTCTTGGCATTTGCCATGTGGATTAGCAATATTCAGGGCGATAACTCACTGTTCTTTAATATTTATTGATAGTCTACCAAGAATCTTGTGTTGGGCTATGTAGTGTTGAGATGTTATGAAGTATAAGGTAAAATTTCTATACTCTGGTCTACTTGGAGATATGACTCCTAGTAAATAAATAAATAAGGCATATCATATGGAAGTTCTGTACTTAATGAATTACCAAGTCAGTGGTATAGAAAAGTGGGTATTATCAGAACCTCAACAGGACAGTTCTTAATTGCTGCAAATGTATTTCAATTTTCTTTTCACATTCACTTCAAGAATCTCTAGAGACCAAAGACTAGAAGTAACAATAACAATAACATATTTGCACAAAGTGTTTCTTCTTTGAAAATTTGCTCTATACTGCCCTGGCCGGTTTGGCTCAGCGGTTGGAGCGTCGGCCTGCGGTACAGAGAGACCCGGGTTCAGTTCCCGCTAAGGGCACATACCTCGGTTGCAGTTTGTCCCCGGCCCTGGTTGGTCGTGCAGGTGGCAGCCACTCGATGTGTCCCTTCACATCGATGTTTCTCTCTCTCTCTCTTCCTCTCTCTCCCTCCCGCTCTATCTGAACAAAAAATGGAAAAATGTCCTCGGGTGAGGATTAAAAAAAAAAAAAAATTAAAAAAAAAAAAAAAAAGAAAGAAAATTTGCTCTATACTAAATAATAGTGTTATATATACCTGATGATGAGGATTATCATAGATAACACATTCACTTAATACATTCTGGTGATAACCTTACGTTATCTCATTTTTGAGACATGGGAAATCAGTCTCAGAGTGGACACAGGTTATTTCTTAAGTAAGAGGTAAATCTCTGATTTAGTTCCCATTAGTGAACTGAAAAGCCCTTTCTTAACTACTAGAAGATCTTGTTCCCATTGACTCCTAATCAGCAGCCTACTTAAGGTATCCATGATTAGATCGTTATGAACAAACTTTGGAGTGGGGGATAGAGATGAGTTGGAAAAGGTAAGCTAAGGCAGGTTGTAAAGAAACATTTATACAAGCTAATGAGTTTGGAACATCTTATCAACAATTAGGGAAGCCACCCACATCAACTGATTATTAACAAAAGTGGCATTATAAAATTTTTATTTTAGCAACCTAATTCTAAGTGCATATAAAGAGTATTAAAGTGGGAGGAGACAAGATATTGGAGACAAGTTGGGTGGTATAATGCTCTAGATATATCATAAATTTTTACACTGGACATACAACAAAATCATAAAAGGTGGATTTGAGAGAGGGGTCTGAGGTAGACTTGCCTAGATTTGTAGACCTGTCCAATAGGGAGGGCAAAGAAGGGGAGGAGTAACAATGGCAGGGTGTTCAATGATGTCATTCCTGAGGCTGGGAAAAAGGAGTGATTACAGTTCGGAGGGGGCTGAGCTTTAGACATGATGAATTTCAGGTGAAGGAGAACATACTAAAGGCAGTTTGACATCCTGAAGAGTCAGGGCTCAAGAGCAATCAGATCAAAGATTTGTGAACCCTCAGCCTGTAAGTGTAACCATGGCAATAGGTAAGGTCATGGCGATAGGCTGGTGTGTTCCAAGTAGAAGGATATTGAAAGGGGCCAAAGGACTAAACCCAGGAAAGCCACAAATATTGAAAGCATGACCCTTTTAGCAGTGTTCCAGTCTGATGGGTGCAGTAAGAACTCTTGGATTGGACGTAGGTATTTCTGAAGCCTCTGTCAACATGTCCTTTTAAAGTAGCTTCCTTAGTGGCTAAGCCATTAGTTGTTGATTTTTACTAGTATTACTCTCTGAGGATTGACTCCAAACTTGGGAAATGGTTTGCTCTCTGTAAACTGACTAAGGATTGGTATAGTCTCATAAATTATTTGTTAGATATCCCAGCTTTTCTTTAGGACATTTTTCATAAATGCAGATTACATTTTTAGTTTTAAAATAAATTAGTGCAGTGATGAAATTCACATGAAATGATTGACAACCCCTTAATGAGCTCCAGGTTTCTTGTGAAATGTCTTGGAAACTTTATTGGCAGCTTCCTGGGTCCTAATATATGAGTGCTTTAATTCTGTTCTAACACTGTGGTGTTCTCTTTCAGTAACAAGCAGAAGCTTCTCTGAAAATTGGTTGTATTGTTCATTCATAGGCAATGACCACTGTATCAGAGGTAACAGCACTGTATGAGAAGTAACAACACTGCAAGTAGCCTTTGGGAAAGTACCTGACCGAAGGTACTGGGCAGAGTTCTGGCCTGAGATTCTACTGGCTGAGCTCAACTGCTAGATCTTCCTCTTACCAGCTATGGGTCACTGGGCCATTGATTCTGTTCTTTAAGCCTTTGTTTATCTGTAAAATTAATTATGATAGTACAGACAGTGCCTCTCATAGAATTGTTGAGGATTTTCTACAGGTATTTTACCTAATGGACACTAGGGAGCACTGCATGTAATTCCTGAATATTATCGCAAATTGACTACAGTCAATTTCTCTCTTTAATTCTGTTTTAAATAACTTTGTGAGTGCTGTACTCTCTGTGAATGTTTTTAACTGACTTTCCTGAATGTGATATAGTTCCTAGATCTAGTTTCTAGCTAGATGGTACCGTGAGTAATAGATTATCTGATAGTAGGGGATATTGGGCTATCATAGCAGGTCATTCATTGGAAGACTATATTTTTTCAGGGTATCCCTCCCTTCCTCTTACAGAATCACCACTTCACATCTGTAAGCAGAGCGCTGGCCTAACTCTGCAGCTTAAGCAGGGGTCAGAACATCTGAAGCAATCTGCTGATATTCTGGTATGTTCATTTCCTTTGTTCTCCAGATCAGGTCTCAAAGAACACTGTCTGAGTATTAAAGACATTTTCTTCTAATGTCATAACATAGTCATGCAGACATAAGAGCCCAGGCCTTTTCACAGGCTATTATAAAACAATCAGATTAACTTGGGTCTAGGTATTATTGAGGAGTGCACTGTGTCCTGCATATAAAAATCATCCTGCATCATGTTGTTGGGCAAATTTCCTGCAATATTAAATAGATGTAGAAGCTCTGCAAAGGTAAGCAGAACTGTCCTCTTTGGGCTTCTGATCAGGATTGTGGAATTCACATGATAGAAAATGAAAATATTACTGGCAAAATAGTCACTTTCAGGGATTGCATACATTTATCACATTTCCTTTGGTAGGAGAAAAAACTCCTACTTGGTTTTCATAAACTGAATATGAAGACTTTGTTTCTGTAAAATGTGTCTCCATGTTATTTTTATAAGAATTCTGCAATTAAAGTTTCAGTACATAACTCCCAGGGTACTAGTATCACATGATCCCCTAAACAGACATTTTATGAACATCTGCCCTGGTCCTAGGGCAAAGGTCACAGTCAGCAAAGACATCTGCCTAATCTTGTATAGGATTTAAACATCTTCCTCATTATCAAGAAAAGGTGTGTTAGTTAATGGTGAAGCTCCATTTGCCAAGGTGTGCATAGTCCTCTGACCATTCTTTATTGCTTCAGAATGACTCTGGTCTATGTGTGTCTTTCTTACAAATCCCTGGCAGAAATTCAACCATCTTGCTATAAAAGTAAATTGAAGAGAACCCAACACTTCACCGACATTGAACCTATGTGTCCCTAGTTTATGTAAGAGAGATTCTTATGAACTGAAATAGTTTGAAAACCTCAGGGAAATATGAGGACGCGATAAGACATTAGAAAGGAGATGTGAGCAGGAGGCAGGTCCTGCTTGTGAGCAGTGGAGTTGCCCATGACAGTCATCCTGTCATGTGTGTGAACACGGCTCAACTGCACCTTTCACCGCTTGGGCAGGACCAAGGACCTGGAGAGGCCCATGTGCTTCCAGGCAGGGCTGCCAATCCTTGAGCATGGACTGGACGTATAAGATCATCCCATCTCTAAATCTGACCTCAGTTAAGACCAAGGTCAAGGCCAGATGGCCAATCACAATCAGCTTTTTCATCCTTTGTAGAAGCCAGACCACAGGGCTGCTGTTTCTGGATAGAATTTGAGCTTAACTAAATATTCACATATAACATTTAAGCAACAGAGGCTGAAACACATGATTTCACAGTCACAGAATATATATTTATTTCTGGCAATACATTTGTATTCTAACTCTAAAATCCCACTCTGATAGACAGCAGAAAAACTTAATCTAGTCACAGCCACAGTCAGTTGGCGTCATCTAGTTTAGCGCTCTCTAAACTGCTCTTGGTTATAAATCAGGAATATTCAGGATCTTCCCCTTCATCCCTCCCCTTGTACTCCGTGTTGTTGCTTTAAGCCAGGGCCTCTACAGAGGCAGTCAGAGGACCTGTGTTCTGGACTCAGCCTCCCCTCCCCTGACTTTGCCCTGAACTGACACCCTGGGATCCTGGGATGTAATGTGAATCTGTAGGCATGGACATGACTCCCACTTGACTCCCTGTTATGAGCTACCCACTGAGCACCCTCTGCCATCAGGACCCTTATCTCTAGCCAGGAGAGTCTGTCAAACTGAGAACCAATCAATCTGCCTTTTTAACTTTCTCTTATAGCTGAAGCCAGCACCCCTTAGGCAATGCAGGGAATGCCTGACCCCATCTGCCTTAGCCCACCAAGCTCATCTCTACCTGTTATCGGAGGGATGCCCTCGATGTCCTCACCTGTTGCTGGTGGAAGTGGAACTTGTGGGGTGCTATGGGAATTATAACTTCCTGAGGCCCCCACGGGAGGATGAGGTATCGTGGAAAGCTTTACTGATGAGGTAACATTAAGGGAGTTCCCCTCCAAGGTCCCATCTCCCTTTATCCTGCCATGGAAAAAGTCCCCTTTTGTCTTCAGCAGGGCTAAGATCAAAGTCACTGCCCAGGGTCTTTGCTTCATATTAAAGCACAGTTCAGCATCTGACTATCTTAGCTTGTGTTCCCAGCTGCAATCCATAGTGTGTGGGGTCTGCTGGCCATGGGCCATGTAACTTCTAGGGCCACATAGCAGGCCAGCACAGGTCCCAGAACAAGTGAGTGCAAGGGCAAGCAAATGAGAGGAACAAGAGAGTGAGAACTCTGTTTCTGGGTTATAACCAGGAGCTCAACCAACACTTCAGGGTTTCACGTGCTTGCAGTGGCTCCATTTCCTACCCAATGCTCTTTGTTCCAAGTTAGACTGACAGGTAAGTACCTTTCCTACATCACCCCAACTTCACTGTGCATGTGCCCATCTTCCCCTTTGTTGGACCCCTTCCCACAGCGATTTGCAGGGAATGGGCTAGTGGTTCCTTAGGGAGTGGAAAGCTGCAGCTTCCTGGTGAAGCTGTCCAGATGATCATGCCATGCTTATATTGTCTGGACTCCCCTTTGCTTTCTTCCTATTGTTAATATTAATAACTAGCTAATTATGACAGTAACATACCCATTCTTCTTCTTCTCTTTTAATCCTTACCAAGGATATTTTTCCATTTATCTTCAGATAGAGTGGGAGGTGGGGGGAGAGAGAGAGAGAAAGAAAGAGAGAGACATCTATGTGAGAGAGACACATTGATTGGTTGCCTCCCGCACAACCCCGACCAGGGCCTGGGACTGAACCACAACACAGGTACCTGCCCCTGACTGGAATTGAACCCACAGCTCTTTGGTCCACAGGCTGATGCTCTAACCACTTAGCAACCAGCCAGAGCAACCCATTTTTCTTGTCCCTGTGACATGGGATGTCTCTGTAGTAGCGTCTCTTAGTAATTAAAGAAGAGAAGCAGGAATCAAGCCTCCTCCTAGATACTTTCAAAATTCTTTGGGAAACCTATAAGGACCCAAGTCCTGGCCGACGCACTAAGGCCTTATTCTAGGGGTGGGATACTGAGCTTATGGCCTCCAGCAGTTTATGATGCTCTTTCTTTCTGTCAAGGTTTCTTCCTTCTTCAGTTTGGAGTGGGGTGGTAAAAAATAAATTAATTAAGACTTGTTCTGCCAGTTTATATTTCTTTTCCAAACTAATTTCTCTCTCATTTGAGCTACAACCAAGAATTTAGAATCTTTGTTTGCTGTTTTTTTATTTTTAGTTTAGTTTTGTTTTCTCTTGACAATTCCCCTGGAACAAGTGAGGAACTGGCCACACTGCATCTGTCTCTTGGAGTATGGGCTTAAAGAAGGGGCCTGGAGGTAGCGAAGAGGAGACACCTCAGTCAACATTATATCATGACATCCTGGCAAAGGACACCCAAATCTACTCATCAATCAGAGTCCAGATTGGGTTCTCACGCCCTTGAGGTTTCAGACATTTGGGCTGCCCTCTGCACCTGGGGAGGACTGCTGTGCGGGGCACTGTCCCCAGTGTGACTGATGAGGAGCATGGTGCGTCCCTGAGATGGGAGATGGCACCGCTTCTTCGAGTAAAAGACACTGGTGTTTAATGTGTTGAAAATCCAAATATGAGTATTTTGCTCCTTCCATTTTTTAATATTTTCCCAAGAGCCTTGATTAGAATTCTAATGAGGAATCCATTTATTTGTGTGTGCGTGCACAAACACACACACACAACTAAAATCATGTTTCTCTAGCAAACTTCTGGTTGGATTTTTTTTTTTTAGGAGCAAACTATTTAGTCATGGTGGTTACTGTTTCTAATTTTCCTTGGGTCTGCTTTCATCTCCAAATCTTGGAAATCCACCAGTGATACTGTATCTAAATTCAAAAGAGGAGTCCAAAGGTTTTAGGCAGAGTGAAGGCTGGTTTTCTTGCCTGTCCCCAGCCTGCCAGTCCCGTTTCTCCAAGAGAACACTATAGGGGCCACTCTATTCTTAACTTACTGAGCTAGTCTTTTAATGGTTTACCAGTACTTCTTTGATGCCTTTGCCTCAGGCATTCAGCTTGTTTTTCTTTTATCCTTAAACCTGCCCCTAGTAACAAGCCCCTTGAGGTTCTTTTCTTCCTAAAGACTGCCTGCAGAAATAGAACAGACTCATTGCAGTCTTTTTCTGTAGCCCCCACAGACAAGTTCAGACTTCTTGTTTTAAGAGTAGTTACTTTTATCTACAGGAAATTATAAATTGCCAAATTGGCCCAAAGTTCTTGTATTGGATAGCTCCCTGTGTCCTTCAATCCACTCTCATTCTATCCCACTGTTCTGTGCTCTGTACAGCTGTCGGGAGCTCATCAACAGGCCCTCTTGGCCCTCTAGGTCCCAGTTGGGTCTGGCCAAAGACAGGCACAGGACCTGCTGGAAAGTAGGAAGGGAGTGAGACTGGGTTATTCTCCCTCCCTTCCCAGGAAGTGCCTATGTTCCTTTACTCCAGAAACCCAAGAGCTCTTTTCATGACCCCATTCTGCTGTTCCTGTTCTAGCTTTAAAATTCCTTGGTTCTGGTAACCTCTTCTGCCTTTTGCCACTTTTGGTCTAGGGATGGTTATAGCTCATCCTCCTAGTTGCTAGGTTAAGGTCCTTCATTTTATTCTTGCTGGTGTCCTCTAATGCTTCTCACATCACAGTGAAGTCTCCTCAATGACCTTGTTTGAGTTTGCTATCTACGTCTTCCCAGGACCCCAGTGGAATGCACACAGTTCCAGATTCTTGTGCACAGGTCCCAGGGCTGCCTTGCTTCTTGAGCTGTGTGTAAGCTGTGGATCAGCCATATATGTAACTCTGGGAGCTTTGTTAGAAGTGCAAACTCTTAGGTTCTGCCCCAGACTTCCTGAATCAGAAGCTGCATTTTAACAAGATTTCCAGATGATGTGAATGCACCTTAAAGATTGGGAAACCCTGCTCTAGAGATAAGCTTCCTTCTCAGGGAGTGAGTGACCAGTAACCCT